GGCGGGTGGAGGACTGTGTGAAGGGTTGCCACAGCCTGAGCACAAGCTTATCTCGAGGCAAGTGGGGGCCTTTGCCCACCCATGGCTGGGTCCCTCCACGTGGGCCCTGTGTTAAGCCAGGTGACAGGATGGTGTGGGTGTAGGCATACACTGCCTTGGCCTTCTGAGGCCCCTGGGCACCAGTTGGACTTTTCTTGCCTAGGTGAAGGATGGCCAACCCCTTTCGTGCCCGCAGGTCTAGTGCCTGCCCCGCAGTATCTGCCTGGACCTGAGATTCAAATAGCCTTAGCATGGCAGCCGGCCAGCTGGCTGGTGGGGCAGAATGCGTGCAGCTGCAGTGCGCCAGCCCTGCCCCCCCAGTGGCCTCTCTGGCCTGGGCTGCACAGACCCGCACACCTTCTGGGTTGCGGCCAGCTGCCCTGGCGAGTGTAATTGCCAGGGCGACAGAAGTGATTTTTTCCTGCATTAAAGAAAGTGGTTTGCTGAGCAGGGACGGAATCCTGCCGGGAAAGGGGCGGCTTTAGAAACGCAAGGGAAGGTTGATGAGGGTCTGCTGCTGAGAACCAAACCTCCGTGTTGGCAGACACAAAGACGACGACTTAATATTAAGTCTGTTGGACAGGGAAAGGGAAAAAAGAGAGAGAGAAATTGAAGTAATCTCCTGGAAAAAAAGTTGGTATAGTATACTTAATGAAAATAACGTGCAGGAGTTGTGTGATACGCAAAATTGCATAACGCGTGTTATTTGTGTAAAAACACAGTTCTATGAAAGGAAAGCATTTGACTGTACTAAATTTTATCATTAATAAATTGTATATGTTTAGTGTTCTTCAAATAAGAATTGCTTGCTCATGGTTGATGACTTATGCCTGCCTTTTTAAAACTCTTTGCTTTCTAGTTGGACTCAATCTTTATATGGTTATTTTTAGTATTTGTTCTCTCGATACTTTAAAAAAATTGAAAATAAGGGAAGGTTTTGGGGGACAAACCACCTAAACTCTAGTGGGTAACTTCTAAAGTTTAAAAAGTTAATTCAACAGTTGTATGCATATAATTAATAAAACGTACTGACTGGTTTATGACAAAATACAGTGATTCTTTCTCTACTTGCCACAGCCCCTCTCCCCAAAAGCTATAGCTTTCTCTCGTTTTCACTTTTCCTTAACACCTTCATGCATTTCCATAGTACAGTATCTTTAAGTTCATGGTGCTGACATCTTATTTTGATAAATTAGTATATAATTTTCTTAAGTGCAATTCTGCCGTCCCTTTCCTCATCTTTAACTTTTTAGATAAATAGATATTCAGTGTTGACATTATTATGCCTGCCCAAACATTAATGGCCAGGCACTGAGGTTTACCGTAAGTTTTTCCTCTCTGTTTTAGTGGAAATTAACTACCTTGTTTTTCTTTCATGGTCCCATTTTTTTGTACCTATTGCTAATTCTTCCCATCTTTTCCCAGTGACCTGACAGTATGATTTTCCATAAACTCAGTAACATTCTGCAAACTATTATTACTAATGTTTTTTCCTGGAGCATCTTTTCTTGGAGACGTGCTTTCTAGACCTTCTGCATGGCCACCTTCCTGGGCATTTTCTTTGCTTTTCTCCTCGTTGGAGTCCTTGTTTTCTGAATTTCCAGAGTTTTGTTTTGTTTTTCCCTCATTTTGTCAGAATGAATTCTTTGTTACTTTTGTTGAGTGAAAACCAGAATCCACAGCAGACGGCAAGATGATGACAGCCCTCATCTGCTCTAGTTTTGAGTCATTGCTCTTTTCTGGGATCTTTCACCATTAGCTAAGAGCCTTTTGCTTCTCTTCTGTGTTGTATCTCGTTTTTATGGTTCTCATATCTTCTTCTTCCTTGACTTAGGTAGTGAGTTCTATAGGGAACTTTTCCTAATAGTTACTTGAAAAATGCTGTGTGATAGGTAATTATAAAGGTATATCTTGAATACATGGTCAGTATTCTGAAAAAAAAAAAAAACCCAACTTATTATAATAAGAATTCTTAGGACTAAGAAGATATAGAAGGCTGTTTCTTGCCATAGTGAGTTTACAGACCAGATGGATAAGTGAGAAAACCTACATGATAAAGTGGAATTTAAGAGTGAAACAAGTTCACAATCCAAGGACTTTTCTAGGATACATGTGCTTAATTTCTGTATAAAAAGCAGTACTGAGCTTTTTTGGACTCAGAGCAAGGAAATCTGATTGGGAGATGTTCTGGAGAATGGAGTCCTTAACCTTTAAAACATGGGTAGGACTTTGGTAAGTGGAAAAGGTAGGAAAGGCTTTTTTATTTTGGATATGAGCAAAGCAGCACATTGCATTAAGTATGTTCTAGAGAAAAAAAGAGCACAGCTTTTTGACCTGCACGAAGTATCAAAGGGAATTAAGGGATCAAGTTAGAAAAGTAAATTGGTGGTATATTATGAAGGGCATTGAATTCCAAGCTATGTAATTTGAATTGTTGTTTTTTTTAGTAAGGGAAAGATGGCATGAGGTTGATGACATTACAGATTGTCATATAAATGGAATCATAGTAGTATGTAGTCTTTGGTGCCTGGCTTTTTTTCTCTTAGCAGAATGCATTTGAGATACCATCTATGTTGTTGTATATATTAGTGGTTTATTTCTTTTACTGTTGAGTAGTATTCCACTGTTTGCATGCACCACTATTTCTTTATCTATTTACCATTTGTTACTTGATACCATTTACATTGTTTCCAGCTTTTGCCCAACATAAATAAAGGTGCCATAAATATTTGAGTATGAATTTATGCTTTCATTTCTATTGGGTAATTACGTAGGAGCTCTGGTAGCATAGTGCCTAAGGCACTTGACTACTAACCAGAAGGCTGGCGGTTCAAACCCACCAGCCACTCCTCAGAAGGAAGATGGAGCAATCTATTTTCATAGTAATATCGCCTCGGAAACCCAAGGAGAGGTCTCTATGAGCCGGGTCCGACTCCATGGCACATAACAACAACAACAATAACAATTAATTATGTAGGATAGTATTGCTCAGTTGTATCCTAAGGGCATATTTAACTTTATAACAGATTGCCAGACTGTTTTGTTACTACCATTTTACAGTCCTACCTGCAGTGTGTGAGAGTTTTAGTTGTTGTACATCCTCACCAGCACTTGGTGTAGTCAGGTTTTTTTTTTTAGTCCATTCAAATATGTAGTGCTATCTCATTGTCACTTTAATTTACATTTCTTTAATGGAGAATGATGGTGAGCATCTTTTCATGTACTTATTAGCCATCTGTACACCTTCTACAGTGAAGTATCTTAAAAATCTTTTACTCATGTTTTTAAAGAATGTGTTTATGGGGTTATAAAAAATACATACTCATTATAAATTCAAAAATGCAGAAAAGTACACATACGAAACATTAATCACTATAAATGCCATCACTTACAAATAACTATTTTAGTTAACAACATTCCAGACATTTCTTTCTGTATGTGTTTAGAGATACGATGAATGGATGGATGCATGTGTGGATGAGTCAGTGGGCAGACAAAACATTTATAAATTAGATCATGTTATACATGCTAGGTTTTTCATGTAATTCATACAGCATAAACTTCGCCCTTTTAAAGTTCATGATTCATAACTTTTAGTAGAGTTACATAACTACAACTCTAATTTCTTAATATTTTTCATCACCCCAGAAAGATACTCTATACCCATTAGCAGTACCATGGTATTCCTCATCACTCCTGGCCTGTCACTTCAGATTTCCTTTTTTTCTCTGTGGATTTGTCTATTCTGGACATTTCATATAAACCTTTGGTGTCTGGCCTCTTTTACTTCATGTAATGTTCTCACAGTGGTTCATTCATGTGGTAGCATGATGTATCAGACTTCATTCTTCTTATGGGTTGTGTGGAATTCCATGTATGCATATATCATGTTTTGTTTAACCGTTTGTTAGTTGATGAACATTAGGGTTGATAGCCACTTTTTATCCCCTGTGAATAATACTTCTATGAACATTTATGTACAAGATTTTATGGGGACATATGTTTTCATTTCTCTTGGGATTAAATAGCTAGGAGTGGATTTGCTGATACTCATTTGTTGATTAGGTTATGTTCTTATTTTGGAACTCTAAATCTTGAATTAACAAATCTCTTAAATCAGGTAACTAAGAGAGTTCTATGTTCAAAAGAACTAATTTTGATGTAGATTTAATGAAAGGGTTTATAAAAAGCTTGATTGTTTTCCTAGTATAAAATTATTTAATGAGCTTAAAGAACCAAGCTGTATTAATTTGAATTGCTTAAAAACACATAAAACAGGCCCTTTTAATTATTATTTAATTAATTATTATTATTTCATCTTAAATATTACTTCTGATTTAATTCTTCTTAGAATCCATTTAGTCAGTCGCCTTGTAAATATTTGTGGATACTGCCTTTTGAGTGTAAGATGTCAATCACACTGAAGTTTTGGAATAAAGTATGTAGGGGAATAACCTAACCTGCAGTTATGATTTGTAACACGTAATCATATTTATTTTATAATATCGATAGCTGTGATAGTAATACGACATGTCTCCTTCCCTTTTCCACTTCTCACAATTCACATTATCAGTTGTTGTGGAGTCGAATTCGACTCATGGCAGCCCTGTGTGTGTTAGAGTGAAATGTACTCCATGTGGCTTTCAATGACTGATGTTTCAGAAGTAGACGGGCAGGCCTTTCCTTTGAGGTACCTCAAGGCAGACTCGACCTCCAACCTTTTGGTTAGCAGCCTGGAACTTGAACTGTTTGTAGCCACCCAGGTACCACCTACAACTAACATTTTTCCTCCATAAAGGGTTGTTCAGGACACACATATAAATAAACCTCCCAGGTGCCTCAGGTGACTTAAATAAATAGAAGTTCCTTTGTGACTGTATGAATTTTTTATTTTGGTGTGTGGGATGTGGAATGTCACCCTGTAAGTAATGGAGACGTGCCTGTCATGTTGTTACTTTCAGCGTTGCTGACAGACAGAGTGCCCTGGAGGCTGAGCTGCGGACAGTGCAGGCCTCGCGTAGGGACCTGGAGAACTTCCTCAAGTGGGTACAAGAAGCCGAAACCACAGTTAACGTGCTTGCGGATGCCTCTCAGCGGGAGAATGTGCTTCAGGACAGTGCCCTGGCCAGGGACCTCCAAGAGCAGATGCAGGTACGCCTGGGTGGCCACAGCCAGCGCGGTCTGGCTCTGAGCCCTCCCCATCCAGCTCGGTGCGCATTTACTGTCGTCAGAAGATAAGGTGGTCACTTGATTTGGTTGGGAAATCTTTGCTTCCCTGTGAATAGTTGGAATAAGACGTCTAAAATTCTCTTACTTAATAATAGAGGAAAAACCACCTTGTTTTATGTAAGTAGTAATGATAATTTAGATTCGTAGACTGATAGAGCTCTGGTAGCATAGTGGCTAAGGCACTTGACTGCTAACCAGAAGGCTGGTGGTTCAAACCCACCAGCCACTCCTCGGAAGGAAGGTTGGGCAATCCTACTTCCGTAGTGATACTTCCTCGGAAACCCAAGGAGGGGTCGCTGTGAGTCAGGGCTGACTCGACGGCACATAACAACAACAACAACAACAACAACAGACTGAGATTTTCTCTTTTCTGTCATTTTCAGTCCTGTTATAGTCAGCACGATTGAATCCTGAATAAGGGCATTTCCCCTTTTCAGGAAGCTGTTTCTTTTCCCATTTGTTTTAAATACTTAACAGAAACGTCACAAGGGCACTCTGACTTAGTTTCCAACTAATAACATTAGGCTTGAAGCTATTACTTTTACGTTTTTACCTTGATGACTAGGATTATATATTCAGTCTGTGGTTGAAATATTTCTTCTATATGAGCCGTAGTCACACAAAACTTAACCTTTAAAAACACTGATGAGGAATCATGCATGTTTGCATCTCTTTTTTCTTCTGCTAGTATTACTGCTTCAGAGCCCTTGAGCCTTCCATTTTCCATGCATAGAATGACCTACTCTTGCTGCTCATATAGGCCTTCTCACTTGCAGCTTCCTTCATAACCCATCTCAATGGTGAGGTTTGCTGGCCAACCGCAGTTTTATCTCTGGTGGCTTCTAATACTGTCTATCTGTGCATCCATTTCACAGTGGTTGTTTGTAATAATGCTTGTGGGCACAGGCTCTATCGCCACCTCCTCTCTCAGTGGATCATGTGATTCTGCAAGGGCAGAGATTATATTATTATATGTTATTGCCTACACACAGCTTTGTGTGCAAATCCTAAACAAATAACTTTGCTGTCCTTGGACTCTAATGCCACCATTATGAAATTCAGTGTGACGATCCCTTTTGAATCCCTTCTAAGGAACTCATTTCCCTTGAAATATCAAAAGGCTTTTTTATAAAATGTTAACCATGTGTGGATACGGATAAAGAACTATTCTTACTCTTAAAGATTTTTGCCGAATTGGAAATTATTTTTAAGTTAGACATTTTTTTTGTTTTGTTTTGTTTTACTGAGGTTTTCTTTATTGTACTTTGCAGATACTGCATTTTAAATTAATTTATTGTGATTTGGGTGAAAGTTTACAGAGCAAATTTAGTTTCCATTCAACCAGCTTACACATTTCTTTAAAAAGACCCTTTTTGAGAATGGACTTATTAATAACTTCTTCTCAAGCCCAAGCACAAGCACTGTTATGGTGTCTTTCTTTTGAGTTCTAAGGATTAACTTGATGGGAATCTGTGTCTGCTTGCATTGTTGTTAACGATGTTGAATGAGTGTGAGCAAGTATTGAAGTTATTATATCTGCTCTTTTGAATCAACCTCTGGAGGTCATGCGATCACCACAAACGTTAATTGATAAAATATTTAGCAATTACCTGTTTTTTAGGAGGCTATAAAAAACCTCAATCTCACTGCTGTTGAGTCGGATCTGACTCATAGCAACCCCTCGGTGGGTTTCCGAGGTGGTGTCACTATGGAAGTATTGCCCAGCCTTCCTTCTGAGAGCTCTTAGGAGGCTGTAGAGGGCTCTAAAGAGGAGAACTAGTGGCACTGTGGTTAAAGCATTGGACTACTAACCCAGAAGTTTGGCAGTAGGAACCCACCAGCCACTCTGTGGGAGAACCATGAAGCAGTCTGCTTCTGTAAAGATTTACAGCTTTGGAAACCCTGTGGGGCAGAATTCTACTTTGTCCTATAGGGTCACTGTGAGTCAGAGTCGACTCAATGGCCATGGGTTTGCGTTTGAATTTTAGAGAGCTCTAAATGTGAGTAGATACAAGAATGTATTATCTTTTATAACTTAAAGAATGATCAGATGACCTGTAAATGCTTACCTGTATTTAATTACGTAATGGTGCTAAATCCAACAGATACCTAGGTTACACACTTGATTAGGGAACAGTTTGTCAAAAATGAGCAAAGGAGGCTTCATGTGAACATGGATAATGAGCCCTAGCGAAATACAGCCTGTTTGAAAGTTTGGTAATTGTTGTTGGCACATTTTATCTTGGGATATATTTTCACCGTAGCCAAACTCTTCTCAATATTTAATGAATTTTAAAACCGTGGAAGAGATAAACGTAAATAGAAATGTTTTAAATATTTGTACATAAAAATGAATTAAGCCCAGGATTACTTGTCTTATGGCAAACAGCATCAAGAAAGAAAGGTTACTGACTAAAATATGAAAATTCAGTAAAACCTTTGTAGTAATTGCTTCTCAGAAATGATTTAGTGTTGCCTAAGTAGGCTGTTCTGGCTCATAGGAAATAGTAAAGAGAGCATTTATTAAGAGCCTATTAAAATCTCTTCAGTTTCAAAATAAACACACATATTTGTTTATGTGAAAGATTTTCCCCACTATGTTAATTTGCATTATTTCCCATCACCCTGCTTCTTTGTTAAATGCTCTTTTCCAAAACATCCTCTCTATTTTATTTTTTTAAAAATCCTTGGCTTAGTTTGGGTACCTTATAGGCAAGTGAGGTGCGCTGGTGGTGGTGCAGTGGTTAAAGCATTTGGCTGCTAACTAGAAAGTCAGTGGTTCGAATCCACCAGCCACTCTGTGAGAAAGAGATGCTTTCATAAAGCTTTACAGCCTTGGAAACTTAATGGGCTGTTCTGCTCTGTTCTAAAGGGTCACTGTGAGTTGGAATTGGCTCGATGGCAGTGAGTTTGGTTTTGTTTTTTTTAACAGGTAAGTGATTGTTAGAGAACTAGGACCTTTAGCTGAATATTTGTGAGTCAAGGGGTTTTCATTTTCCTATGGGCTTCTGTGTTCAGGACTCCCTTTTTGTGCAAGGGTACAAACATTGAAAATGGAAGCTTTGGAAAGAGGTTTATTGAAGGAAAATGAATGTAACAAAACATTTGAAATAATCAAATACATTTTCTCTTGAGGTGGTAATGGTGGTGGTGATGGGCAGTGCATGGGTGTGCTACAGATGATGGAATAAGTATCATGACATATTTGAGCTCCATGCATGAGACACATATACAGGCTGCTTACATGACTCATTTACTGGTTATACTGCTTCATGTCTTATGATTACCCAGTGTAGGCCCATGGGAATATTTCATGAAGATGGAGAGGAAGTTTATTCTTTTTTCACTTTGTCGTGGATCTTGGGTAAATTTTGATAAAGGATAATTTGGAAACACAATGGAAGATGAAGATTGATTTCTGGAAGGCTGTGATGCATGCTGTTTCTGTTAAGAAGGGTGATCATTTGGATTTATTTGTTTATATTTCATTGCCCTCCTTCCACGCTGTCAGGTTTTTATCCTCAGCAGAGCCAGTGTCAAGAGAAAACTTGAACTCTTGGATACTTGCAGGAGAGAGCAAAGCTTCTAGAGAATTGAGTGGTCCTTATCATAGATGATCTTGTCTGCCGTACTAAGGACTTTGGATCTTATCCTGTTGGCAATGGGAAGAAGTCATTACAGGATATTAAGCATGAGAATGAAGCACTGAGGTGTCTACTCTGTAGGAATCCAGCTGATATCATTGTGGAGAATGGATTTAGCTTGGGCAGGATTGGCAGCAGGAGTTCTGTCAGGATATCAGTATAGCCATCCAGGCCAGAGGTGATAATGACAGAACAGAATCAGTATCCTCAGAACTAGACCTGGTGACTTGATAGTATAGGTGACCCAAGGGAGGAAGAGGGGAAAAGACAGGGAAGGTTGCCAGGTGGTGGTAGGACCTGAGACCGGGAATGTAAGAAAATGTCTAGACAGGGATGTGAGTTAGGGGGAGTGTGATGGAATGGTAAAGTGTATTTTGATTATGTTGAAATGAGGTATTTGAGTAGCATCCAGGAGGAGATACCTCATGTATGTATTCATTTCCTCAGGCTATATACAGATGTACCACAAACTAGCTGGTTTATAAGAACAGAAATTTATTTTCTCCCAGTCCTGGAGGTTAAAGGTCTAAATTCAAGGTGTCAGCAGGGCTGTGGTCTCTCTGAAGGCTTTAGGGGAAGATCTCTCCTGTGTCTTCCAACATCTGGTAGCCCCATGCATTCCTTTACTTGACTTCACCACTCCAGTCTCAGCCTCCGTTTTTATATGACGTTGTCCCTCTGTGTCTAACTGGCTCTGTGTTTCTTCTTCTGTTTGAAAGATAGCAGGCATATGGGATTAAAGCCCTCCCTACTCCAGAAGGACCTTATATCATTTAACTAATTACATCTGCAAACACTCTTATTTCCAAAAAAGGTCACATTCATATGTACCTGGTGTTAGGACTTCAGCAGATCTTTCTGGGGACACAGTTTAACGCCAAACACCTGGCATACAGTTGTCATCTGCGTCTGTATTCACATGCTAGAATTTGACCAAAAAGCAGAAAAACCTCACTGCCCTTGAGTCATTTCCTACTCATAGCAACCCCTCCTTGCGTTTCTGAGGTGGTATCTCTAAGAGACTTTTTTCTCCCCTGCTCTTTTGAATGAAAACCTATTGTTGACTTCCCAACCGGTTTATCTATTAATTCAAATGCACGTATCCTTGATTTTCTTGCCTGTGTTCTAGGACATCATTATTCTTTTAATTATATTTTAAAACTTAAGGTCTAGATTTTAGTAGTACCAGTTAATTGAGAGGTTGTGATTCTTTCCTGAGTAGAACCCTGTGGCCCTTCTGTCTTTCTGGGGTAGGGATTGAATAAGTCACTTTTTACT